GACACTGTGGGGATGGCTGCCCACTGGCCACGCTTACCTTCATGGGCAGCCCTGACCACAGGTAGACGGTGAAGATTGCCAGGGCCTGCCACCAGTGGTAGATGGTGAAGACAAAATCTTGGCGCTCCTTGTCTTCGTACAGCATGCCCAGGAGGACTGCGCCGGAGGAGACCAGCTTTCAGCAGCCCCCTTCTGTGCCAGTGTCCCATCTCGGGACATTGTCAGCAGGACCCAGCCACAGTGGGTCTGTCCTACTCCTCATCTGGGTGTCCAAGGAGTTGGGGACCACCAGATTGCAGTGCCAGGGGACACGAGGAGAGGATGTGTCGGGGAGCTGGGGGCAACCTGGCTCTGCCAGCAGACAAGAGAGGCTGTCGGGGACCTTCCTGGTACTCACTACTAATGCTGGTCTTGTTGAGGGCGCTCCCCGTGCCCCAGAGCACGGCTATGGCATAGAGCAGGGGTGCCTGGACCAGGTGCCGGGGCTCAGGTGCCCAGCAGAAGAGAGTCACCAGCAGGGCAGCGTGAATGAGGGCTCCGGCAAGCAGTGGGATCTGCCGCCGCAGGCGCAGCATGCAGAGGGCCAGGCTGGAGCAGGCCGAGGCAGAGAAGCCGTAGGCCATGAGGAGGTACGCCAGCTTCTCCAGCCCCAGGGCACAGACACCGTAGTTCTGCAGCGAGGACAGGCTTAGTGTCACCTGGCTGGGCTGTCCCTGCTCTGTCACCCCCTGCCCCGTCTCCAGGCCCTACCAGGGAGAAGCCAGTGCAGACAAAGAGCACCTCGAAGCCACTGTAGATGAACAAGGGGAAGAGGTGGCGCAGGCGGTAGTCCCGCATATGCTTGAAGGGCAGCTGGAAGATGTTCCCCCAGCCGATGCTGCGCAGGTCTATCTCCTCCGTGGGCCGATATGCCGAGCCGCAGAGCACCAGGACCTGCCGCGTGGCCATGGGTGAGGCACTGCTGGCATCCTGTCCTGTCCCGTGCCCACCCTGGCACTCACCACCAGCATGGCGAGGAAGGCAGCCGCCATCAGGGCGCTCTCCACAATGATGAGGTTCACACTGCGGGGCAGGCTCTGCAGCACCGTCTTGTTGAAGCCAGGCAGCGTGCCGTGGCTCAGGGTCCCTGCCGGGGCGGCACACACCACAGCTCAGCCCCAACCGTCCCTGTGCCACCATGCCATCCCACCGTGCCGTCCTGCGCCCGCACGCTCACCGCAGTGCTTGACCCCGAAGAGTGTGTGGTTGAGCTGGTAGAGGTAGTTGTTGAGGAAGAAGAGCGTGGGCATCTGAGCGCAGACGAAGCTCAGCTGCAAGACATATCGCAAGGGGAGCTCAGCGCCGGGCTGCCCAGTGCAGGCCCCTGCCCGTGCCGTGTGCCCTGCTGGTGCTCACGTGGAAGCAGGCGTAGAAGATGGTCTGGAAAATGATGATGTAGACATTGCAGGCGCCCCGTGGTGCCCGCTGCTGCTCCTGCACGTGCTCCTCCTTGTAGTTGACGTACTCGTAGTGCTTCTGGGCCATCCTGTGTGGCATGGTGAGTCAGCTGGCACCCCTGGCACCCCTTGTCCACCCTCCCCACTACCTACCGTGTGATGTAGTTGCCCATGGAAGCCCAGAGGGGCACGATGGCCACCCCAATGGCCACCGCGGAGGGCACCAGCGTGTAGTAGCGCTCCCAGTAGTTGCTGGAGACGAAGAGGGCGTAGATCCCCACCGCCAGGAACATGGCCCACTTGGTGCCGAAAAACCTGCCAGGGCGAGGAGGGAGGACCATGGGCATCTGTGCCGGCATGCCGGCTGGGAGCGCAGGCAACGCCGTTACCTGATGAGAACGGGCGTATAGAGCAGTGCTGCGACGGGGGTGACGTTGATGCCCATCAGCACCTTGCGGTCGATGTCCTCCAGTTGTATGTTGCTGTACTTCACCT